GTGCCCCCTAAACAACAAAAGAAGCCCGTAAACAGGGCAGGCCCTTGCACCAGCATCTTCATCCCCGAGCAACTCTAGTAGACCACGCATCCCTGACCCGCAAAATAACCGCCAAAATGCGGGTCGGGGCTGGAGCGCAATCGATCAAACTAATGGATCTGGCATCGCCTCAAGAAAAAGAAAAAAACTCAGGGGACCGAGAGTTAGTTCCGTACTTAATTCTCATCTTTGTCTAAAAAAGCTTAATTATCATCTAGATGTGAATTAGTGAATCGGAAAAGAACTCTATGACAACTCCGATTGGTCGCCGGAGGAAGAACAGAAAGCGAAAACACGTAGTACGTCGTATTATTACGATTAGAACTCGGACAAGATACCCAAAGGCGGTTCACAAGCGGCTCGAGACCTTCTCGGTTTTGCATTGCGCCGGGCCAAATGGAGTAGCATATAAGGCCATCAGCCCTGTTCGCTTGAGCCTCGCAGCTACAGCCATCCTAGGCTGATCTCCGGCGAGCGAGTTCGGTGCAACTCACCAGGGCATCCATCTCGATCGTCGTGGTCAATTTCGAGGGAAGGATGGCAGTGTACTACCGGTCCATGTGCAGCCGGGACACGTTCCCCCTGCCAGTTGCCGCGCCATCCATCTCCGTCGGCGAGCTCAAGGGCCTTATCATGGAGACAGGCCGCTATGGTCACGGCCGGACACGCGGCCGGAGTCCCAGGGAGAGCATCACGATCTCCAACGAGCAGGGCGAGGAGTACGCGGACGACAGCGCGTTGGTCCTGCGCAACTCGACGGTGGTGGTGCGCCGCCGAGTGGCCGGGCCTCCGGCCGATAGGATCGTGCTGTGTCCGTCCGACATACCCCCTCTATGCCCTAGATCGAGGCAAGACAGCGGTGGTTCGTCGTCGAATTCGGCCTCGAGGTCCGCCGGAAACCAGGACGACCAGGCCAAAGCTACCAGCGCGGTGATCGACAACGGCCGTGGAGCAGCGCACAAGGGGCGGGCGCCGCCGGCCGGGTACGTGTGCCACAGGTGCCGTGTCCCGGGCCACTTCATCCAGCACTGCCCCACAAACGGCGACTCCAGATTCGACTTCGGAAGGGCTCCGGTGCCTGCCCCTGGGCCGGCCGACGAGAGCAACGACGACGGCTTCCCGGCGGATCTCCACTGCAGGATTTGCAAGGAGGTGATGGCCGACGCGGTGGTGGCGAGCAAGTGCTGCTTCAACAGCTTCTGCGACCGGTGCATCCGAGCGCACATCGTCGCCAACTGCAAGTGCGCGTGCGGGGCCAAGGCGAGCGCGGACGATCTGATCCCCAACCCGACGCTGCGCACCACCATCTCCAACATCCTCGCCGCCAGGGCCGGCAGCGCTTCGAGTGGAACAGGGAAGCAGAGCAGCTCCGCCGCAAGCAACGAGGTCGCGGCGCCCACGCGTCAGGCTCAAAGTCCGGCAGCGTCGCAGGAGAGCAGCAGCGGCAGCCACGCTTCTTCCAAGAAGGGTGCTAACTCGGAGTCGGAGCACAGCGACGGCAAATCGACGTCGGCTTCAGCGGCGCACGAGACGGCGGACACAGCGGCTAACCATGTCGATCATCAGCATGGCTACAGCGTTCCCTTTGCCCCGGCGTGCTACGACCCTTTTCTTGGTGGGATGCCGTGGCCAGCTGATCCTTCCATGTACTACGGCTACGCCGGCATGCCCTACGCTTACGGCGGCGGTTACCCGATGGGTTCGAACGCCATGGGCGGCAACATGACAGTACCACCACAAACACGGAACGACGGCGGACCGTATGGTTACCACGGCAGGAAGAGGACGCGCGCAGATTGTGAGGATCAGAGCTTCAAGAGAAAGTGCGGTGGAGGCAGATCACAGGCCGCCTTAGTTTTGACGTAGTACTACAAGCTAGCTGGTGCCCAACTGCACAATGCAGAGGTTCTGATAGGCAGATCACAGGCAGAGGTTCTGATAGCTTCAAATGCCTTGTAATGTATAACCAGCAGTACTGGTTTAGCAAAGAGCTGCAGGCCCTCATGCGCAGCTCTTTGTCTTCCCATGTAATTTGATTTTACTGATCCTCATGGGGTGAACCGAACTTAGGTGCAGCCCTTTTGCTTTTCCAATAAAATATATTCATCCAACCTTTTTCCTTATTTTGAAGGGGTATTATTTTCTCTTGTGATTCTTCTTTGACGTATGAATCTTGTATGTTTCAATCGTGTAAGCTCTCTTTCTTGGATATGCCATCAAAATATTTCTATAGTTAGTGTCTATTTTGTTCACTTTTGTGTTGTTTCCATGTACTAGTTAATTTTGGGTTCATAGTTTGTACTCCCTCTCTTAGCTATTATATATAAGAGCGTTTAGAATTTTCAGACACAACCGATAAATGGAAAATAGACCATCCTACCCTCATTTGAATTTCGAGTCGTCTTCCTCCAAGAGCTCGCGTCTTCTTTCTCACGTTGTCCGCTTCGTCCAGGCACTCGGCCCCTTCGTCCACGTGCTCGGGCCCCGCGTCCAGGCGCCCAGCTTGGTCGCAGCCACCCCAAATTGGTCGCCGCCGGCCTCCACCCACCTGGCTCGTCTCCGCCGCCACACGCCGTTCATGCTTGGTCGCTTCCGCCCCACATTGATCACCGCCGGCCTGCACCCACCTGGCTCGTCGTCCCTACCGCATGCAACATGTGCCTGGTCACCGCCGCTCCAGATTGGTTGCCGCCGGCCTGCGCCCACTTGGCTCGTCACCGCCGCCGCACGCACGTGTCTGGTCCTCGCCGCGCCAAGCCGAGTCCTCGTTGCGCCCTGGTCCTCCTGCCACACGCAACACTCCAACATCACTCCAGGCAGGTTCTCCTTGCCTCGCGAGGACACACATGATGTTGATCCAACAAGAGAATGCTTGGACACACATTCTTCCCGATGATGCAGAGTTTGCAGAAGTTGTGGCTACAATAGTTCTAGACATTAGGTAATAAATCAGCCTCCAAATTCTCCTGATGTAAACGCACCTGATCTTGGATATTTCAGATCCCTTGAGTCTTTCACTGACTACAGAGCTCCCACGAATATCAAAGACCTTATTCAAGGTGTGCAGGAAGAATTTGATGAGTATGATGCCGGGAAACTCAACAGAATATTTCTAACACTTCAGACTATCATGGTGGAAGTGATGAACTATGAAGGAGGAAATTCATATAAAATTCCCCATTTGCGCAAGGAAAGATTGGAATAGCAAGGAATCGTACCGCCTAGGATTCATTTTTCTCGTGAAGTCTATGAAAATGCCATCGAGATTCTAAAACAAGATGTCCAATGAACAATAAGTCATGGAGTAGTGGAGTATGTTGAGACTCGCAATGCCAGTATGAAGGATGAAATGCTTGCAAAACTAGCCGTGGAGTATGTTGAGACTTGTAGTGCTATGATGAACTTGTTTTTGGAAATGCATCCTTAAGACTTGTATTGTTTGTGGATATGGACTATTTGTAAGTATGAAATGGATTATATTGTGTTGTTTGAAATTGAGTACTCCGTATGTGTTGTTTGAAATGGAGTGTGCAAGTTTCTTAAATTATATACAATTTTATGAAATTATACGGAATCCATCTATGCATCCTTTTTTCCGCCAGTTGTAAGTCAACCATCGATGCAAACTGGCCTCGACACCGATTTTCTCTCCACCCAGCGACTTATAAAATGTTCACCCAGTTTAAAAGGTAATTCATCGCATATTTGTAAAATGTTCACCATGTATTTGTAAAATGTTCATCGTGTATTTTTTCTAAAAATATTAATCTTATCCTAAAAAAATTATCCATGCATTTTAAAATAGTCTATCATGTATTTTGTAAAATGTTTTCGCATATTTTAAATTTTTTTTAATCACAAACATTTTTCGAATTTGTGAACATTTTTAAAATTCTTGAACATCTTTTAATTGCACAAATACACTAATTGAACAATTTTTGTGATTAGAATTTGTTTGCAAAGGGAAAAAAATGTGGCCATGTAGATGCTATTTTTACGTGCCCATAGTGTTAGGGCATGTACAATGGTGCTATCTTAGAAGTGCCACGTAGGATAGATAATGAAGTGGAGGAGAAAGAACTCATAAGAAAAGGCTAGAGGTGATCTTTTAGCATAATATGTCTCACCATATTTTTAGAAATTACTAGTTATTGAAGATAAGGCCATGAGATGACCCACTGTAGACAATTTTTTTTGTCATCTTTAAATCACATGCAAGACTTAAGATGAGACTATCCTATCAACCATTGTACATATGCCCTTATTTACGTAGCTACATGAGCACACTCTAGTTTGACTTGCGTCTCCTGTAGCTAACTCTTGTCCATAGTGAGTGCCCCGTGAGGTTCAAGCTATCAAGAGTTCCATGCCCAGCGATGATTAGTTGCAGCGAGTACTGACGTGCACATGCTGTAATCAGCCAGATCCTTTAGACTCTGTTGGACCAGAGAAAGTGGACGGCACGGATAACAACACCTGAAAACAGAACAAATATCGATATTGTCTAAAAAATAAAAAGACAAGGCAAAAGGGACCACAATATTATTTTGGACATTACTTAGATGTGACATACTCCCTCCGTTTTCAAATATAAGTCTGTTTAGAGATTTGAATATGGATAACATACGGATGAATATAGACGTATTTTAGAGTGTAGATTCATTCATTTTGCCCGTATGTAATCCATATTAGAATATCTAAAATAAACTTATATTTAAAAACGATTGAAGTATCTATTATGTCACATCTAGATGCGACTTAGACAAACTCATTCATTTACAGAAGGATAAGTTTACGAATCTCATGCTGGACCCACTGTTGTTGCTGCAAATTACCACGACAACATTCAGATATATCTCAAGCACACACAAGTCACAACACACAAAATCACCAAAGTACGTACGCAGGTCTCCTGGCCAGCCGTATATATATCACACATAGCTGAGTCACGCAGCTCGGGCCTACAGGAGCATGGCCGCGGCGGCCAGCAGCGACGAGCCGACGCACGCCACCCAGGTGCCACCGCTGAGGCCACGCGGGCTGCCGCTTCCTCCGCCGCGTGATCCGCCTCGGCCCCTCCCTTCCGTTACCTCCATGAGGCTGGCCACGCTGAGCAGGACGAGGAGGAATGCGCAGAGGAGCAAGATGCGTCCCATCTTCCAATCTATCCCTACACGCGGGCTAGCGGAAACACAGCTTCCAGAGCGTGTGATTTCCTTCTCTCGCCTCCACAGCTGCTGCTGCTGCAATTGTGTATTTATGCATGGTCCGGAGCTGACCTTGCCAGACGTGTTGCTGTTAACTGGCTAGCTAGCAGCACGGAGCTCGCAGCTTATTGGTCAAGGCAGAGTTGACATTGCCGTTTTTCTACTCTAATTTTGACGCGGGTGCTCTTATCTTCTTCAATTAGGTACTAGAGGAAATTGATTCGAAATGATGTAGGACTACGTCTGCACCTCATGACCGGACTTCCGTTTAGAGGGTAAGTGGTGTACCTGTCATTGTTGAGTGGATCATTGCACTTATCTCTTCCATTCCAGGTTGGCAATTGGATTTTGTACGTAGTTTTTATCTCCATTATGGGCCAAACAAAGTACCAGGTCGTAAGACTAGGATTTCCAGGTCAACCATGAGCAGGACAAGCGGCGGTATGGAACGCAAGTCTCGCTCGCTTGCGTAGTCATGCTCCGTTTTTCCTTCCTTCTGATTTCCTGGACTTTTCTTGGAGTACGCTGGTTGATTGCTAGCATCACACGCATCATCTGGCGTTCGTAGGCGAGCGTGGTAATATAATAATATAGCTCAAATAATAAGTGCTCCTATAGTCAGCCGCGGAGATCCAGCGGAGGTGCAGGGCACTAATGATGTGGGTGCTAGCTCCATCAACATGAGCGCCCATGCTAAAGGGGTGGCTGTTGAATCAATTCGGGGCCGATAGAAAAGGTTGTACAGAGATGAGCAACTGGAGCGCGCTGCCGTTCAAGGCATGTGTGCCAAGCATGTGAAGTTTGGGGTCCCTTCGCCCCCAAACAGTGGCAGCGAAATGTCCAATCACAAGGGTGCCTTTGCAGCCATCCTGGAGAGCACGGCTGGTACCAAAAGGAGTCTTTCTGATGATCAAAATTTAGTGTTTAGTATGGGTAGCACTAGTTCTGAGAGCTTAGAGTATAAGACTGCAAATGATAGAACTGTTTCTTGTAAAAGAGTCTGTACTGAGAGGGTTGAGGCTGTAGTTGGTGTAGATGGGTCTATTGTTCATGTAACTGAGGAAAGGGAAGGAAGAGAGGAAGAGGCTGGGGATAGGAGGAGGGAATCAGTGCGTGAGGAAAAAGAGGATGTGAATGCAACAAAGGAAGCTACCGGCCTTGGGGCTGCCGGTGACCTGACGGGCGCAGAGGACGCCCGTCAGGAGCCATGAAAATGTTGAGTTGGAACTGCCGAGGCTTGGGTCAGCCTCGTACAGTTCAAGAGTTGGTGTGCATCTCTAAGACGCACAGACCCAATGTTATCTTTTTATCTGAAACCAGAAAAAATAAAGAGTATGTTGAGAGTTTGCGCTACAGGTTGGGTATGAATAATGTGTTTACTGTTTCTGGCCATGGTAAAGGTGGAGGACTAGCTGTGTTTTGGGATGAGGCCTACTCTTGTGAGCTGAATAATATATGGGGATCATTTTATTGATATGTATGTCGGCAAGGGAGATGGAACAAGATGGAGGTGCACTTTCATTTACGGTGAGCCTAAGGCGAGCCAAAGGTACGTTATGTGGGATCTCTTGAGACGGTTAAAACCTCTTGGTGTAGGACCTTGGTTTATGGTGGGAGATTTTAACGAAGCTATGTGGCAAAATGAGCATTTCTCTCGCCACAAGAGGTCTATTAGGCTTATGGCTAATTTTAGGGAAGCTCTGTCCGAATGTAATCTATATGACTTGGGTTTTCATGGTGTGCCTTGGACGTATGATAATAAGCAAGATGGGTTCAAGAATGTTAAGGTACGACTTGATCGTGCGATGGCTTGCCCGCTTTGGTCTTCTATGTTCCTCGATGTAAGGTATCCCATATTATAAGCTCCAGATCTGATCACTGTCCCGTTTTTATTGAGTTGTTGGGTACTCCCAAAGTTAGCACTTTTGTTAAACAGTTGAAATATGAATCTTATTGGGAGAGGGAAGGTGGGGCTTTGGATGATCAGATTAGTGCTTGCTGGAATAGAGATTCTATTATCAATGATCTTGGTGATGTTGCGAATAAGCTAGAAAAACTAATGAAATCTCTTCATGGGTGGGGTCGCGTTCATATTGGGTATCTGCCAAAGAAACTGGAGTGGGCTCGTAAAAGACTAAAAAATTTGTTTAGCAGGAATGATCATTCTGCAGGTTTGGAAAGGAAGAAAATACTTGCAGAGATGGATGAACTTCTTATAAAGGAAGAAATGCTTTGGAAGCAAAGATCTCGGTTGGACAAGATAAGAGGAGGAGACCGTAATACTAATTATTTTCAGAGGAAGGCTTCCTGGAGATCAAAGAAAAATCATATTTCTGCTCTAAGGAAGGAGGATGGGTGCCTCGCGGAAAATTTGGAGGAGATGAAAGGTATCACTAACTCATTCTTTAAACAACTTTACTCATGTGATGATTCAGTTGAACCGTCCCATATTATTTCGCTGGTCAATCCCCTTGTCTCAGATGATATGAACGAGGAGCTATGCAAACCTTTTACGGATCAAGAGATTAGTGATGGGCTTTTCCAAATGGGGCTGTTAAAGGCTCCGGGGCCGGATGGTTTTCCTGCAAGGTTTTTCCAGCGGAATTGGGGTTTGATCAAGGAGGATATTATTAAGGCTGTCCAACAGTTTTTTATTTCTGGAGTTATGCCTGAGGGGATTAATAACACAACTATTGTTCTCATCCCGAAAATTAAGAACCCTCAATCTATTAAGGATTTCAGGCCGATCAGCTTGTGCAATGTTATCTACAAGATTATTTCCAAATGCCTTGTTAACAGACTGAGGCCGCTCCTTAATGGTATGATTTCCCCTACTCAAAGTGCGTTTATTCCGGGAAGATTAATTTCTGACAATGCTCTCATAGACTTTGAATGTATGCATTCGTTGAGTACGATTAAAGATTTAAGAGGGGAATTTTGTGCATATAAGTTGGATTTGGCGAAAGCTTATGATCGTGTAGACTGGCATTTCTTGCAATGTATGATGGGGGCTTTGGGTTTTGCACCGAGGTGGATAAATTGGATTATGTCGTGTGTTACAACGGTGAAATTTGCCGTCCGCTTCAATGGACAGTTGCTGGAGTCTTTTTCACCTTCTAGGGGACTTAGGCAGGGGGACCCTTTATCTGCGTACTTGTTTCTTTTTGTTGCTGAGGCACTTTCTTTGCTTCTTAATGATGCTTCAGCCAGACGATCTCTTCAGGAGTTTCATTTGAATAGACATGCTTCAGGTATTTCCCACTTGTTGTTTGCGGACGATAGTATGTTATTTTTCAAAGGCTCCATTGATCAAGCAATTGTCATTAAAAATATTTTGACAAAGTACGAGAAAGGGACTGGGTAGTTATTAAGTCCTGATAAATGTTCCATGATGTTTGGAAAAAAGTGCAGTTTGGAGAATCAAGTGGCTATTATGGTAATCTTAAAGATTACGGTCGAGGGGTTCGAAGATAAATATCTTGGACTTCCGGTTCCCGAGGGAAGAATGAAAGCTGGTAAGTTTCAATCTACTAAAGATAAGGTTTTGAAAAGGCTCTCTGACTGGATAGAGAAATACGCTTCGTGTGGGGTGAAAGAAGACTTAATAAAATCAGTTATTCAAGCTCTACCTGTGTATGCTATGGGTATTTTTAAGTTCCCGGCTTCCCTTTGTGAGGAGTTAACACATATAATCAGGAATTTTTGGTGGGGAGATGAGGAAGATCGAAGAAAAACACATTGGTTAGCTTGGGACAAATTGACTAGGTCTAAAGGTAAGGGAGGTATGGGATTCCGGGATCTCAGATTATTTAACCAAGCCCTCTTAGCCAAACAAGCGTGGAGGTTATTGGTTCATCCGGATTCGTTGTGTGCTAAGCTGATGAAGGCAAAGTATTACCCTGATGGACATATTCTTCATACATTGTTTCCTCAGTCTGCGTCAGTGACTTGGCAGGGTATTATGCATGGTCTGGAATTGCTTAAGAATGGTGTCATTTGGCGGGTGGGAGATGGATCTAGCATTAATATTTGGAGGGATAATTGGTTACCCAGGAACACTGGACTTAAAATTTCAGTTAAAAGGCACAATACTAGATTGAAGTGGGTCTCTGATTTGTTCTTGAGTGGGAGAAAGGCATGGGATGAAAATTTGATCAAGTATCTTTTCTATCCCCATGATGCAGAGGAGGTTCTTAAGATTCGTATTCATGCTTATGGGGATGGGGATTTTGTTGGAAATATGCCCTAGAGGCAATAATAAAAGTATTATTATTATATTTCCTTGTTCATGATAATTGTCTTTTATTCATGCTATAACTGTATTATCCGGAAATCGTAATACACGTGTGAATACATAGACCACAATATGTCCCTAGTGAGCCTCTAGTTGACTAGCTCGTTGTGATCAACAGATAGTCATGGTTTCCTGGCTATGGACATTGGATGTCGTTGATAACGGGATCACATCATTAGGAGAATGATGTGATGGACAAGACCCAATCCTAAGACTAGCACAAAAGATCGTGTAGTTCATTTGCTAGAGCTTTGCCAATGTCAAGTATCTCTTCCTTCGACCATGAGAGCGTGTAACTCCTGGATACCGTAGGAGTGCTTTGGGTGTATCAAACGTCACAACGTAACTGGGTGACTATAAAGGTGCACTACAGGTATCTCCGAAAGTATCTATTGTTTTATGCGGATCGAGACTGGGATTTGTCACTCCGTGTAAACGGAGAGGTATCTCTGGGCCCACTCGGTAGGACATCATCATATGCGCAATGTGACCAAGGAGTTGATCACGGGATGATGTGTTACGGAACGAGTAAAGTGACTTGCCGGTAACAAGATTGAACAAGGTATTGGATACCGACGATCGAATCTCGGGCAAGTAACATACCGATAGACAAAGGGAATTGAATACGAGATTGATTAAGTCCTTGACATCGTGGTTCATCCGATGAGATCATCGTGGAACATGTGGGAGCCATCATGGGTATCCAGATCCCGCTGTTGGTTATTGACCGGAGAACGTCTCGGTCATGTCTACATGTCTCCCGAACCCGTAGGGTCTACACACTTAAGGTTCGATGACGCTAGGGTTATAAAGGAAGTTTGTATGTGGTTACCGAATGTTTTTCAGAGTCCCGGATGAGATCCCGGACGTCACGAGGAGTTCCGGAATGGTCCGGAGGTAAAGATTTATATATGGGAAGTCCTATTTTGGCCACTGGAAAATGTTTGGGATTTTTCGGTATTGTACCGGGAAGGTTCTAGAAGGTTCCGGAGTGGGGCCCACTTGCATGGGGGGACCCACATGAACATGGGTAGTGGGGGAAAGGCCCCACACCCCTGGTCAAGGCGCACCAAGATCCCCCCTTAGAAGGAATAAGATCATATCCCAAAGGGATAAGATCAAGATCCCTAAAAAGGGGGGATAGCAATCGGTGGGGAAGGAAATGATGGGATTTCTTTCCTCCCACCTTTGCCAACGCCCCAATGGACTTGGAGGGCAAGAAACCAGCCCCCTCCACCCCTATATATAGTGGGGAGGCGCATGGGAGCTTCACCCTTGCCCCTGGCGCAGCCCTCCCTCTCCCAAGTGCTCCCCCTCTCTCGCGGTGCTTGGCGAAGCCCTGCAGGATTGCCACGCTCCTCCACCACCACCACGCCGTTGTGCTGCTGCTGGAGGAGTCTTCCTCAACCTCTCCCTCTCTCCTTGCTGGATCAAGGCATGGGAGACGTCACCGGGCTATACGTGTGTTGAACGCGGAGGTGCCGTCCGTTCGGCACTAGGATCATCGGTGATTTGAATCACGACGAGTACGACTCCATCATCCCCGTTCACTTGAACGCTTCCGCTTAGCGATCTACAAGGGTATGTAGATGCATTCTCTTTCTACTCGTTGCTGGTCTCTCCATAGATAGATCTTGGTGACACGTAGGAAAATTTTGAATTTCTGCTACGTTCCCCAACAGTGGCATCATGAGCTAGGTCTATTGCGTAGATTCTTTGCACGAGTAGAACACAAAGTAGTTGTGGGCGTTGATGTTGTTCAATATGCTTACCGTTAATAGTCCAATCTTGTTTCGACGGTATTGTGGGATGAAGCGGCCCGGACCGACCTTACACGTACTCTTACGTGAGACAGGTTCCACCGATTGACATGCACTTGGTGCATAAGGTGGCTAGCGGGTGCCAGTCTCTCCCACT